ATTAAAATTTGAGAAATTTCCATATTATATCACCAGCTTTTATACGATATTTACTAACTTGTGGGTTTAATATGAAATTACGGCGGTGATTCTGTATCATTATATTTATATATTTCCAAAATACAAAAATTTCGTATAGTTTAATGAAAATCCTTACAAATATAATGATTGTTAATGGAATTTGTTTAAATTATTTTTGGTCCGTTAGGAAATGATATTTAGGGGGACGGACACGGTAGCTGTTTTGATCGAGTGGGTGTTAGCGAGGATTGTGATGCATCCTAAGGTTCAATCAACGGTCCATGATGAGCTTGATCGAGTCGTTGGCAAATCAAGAGCCGTTGATGAGTCTGACCTTCCATCTCTGACTTATCTAACGGCTACGATCAAAGAAGTGTTGAGGATGCACCCACCGGGCCCACTTCTCTCTTGGGCACGTCTCTCTATAACGGAGACCACCGTGGACGGCTATCACGTGCCGGCTGGGACCACCGCGATGGTCAACATGTGGGCTATAGCACGTGATCCGCACGTGTGGGAGAATCCTTTAGAGTTTAACCCGGAGAGGTTCATGGCTAAAGAGGGTGAAGCTGAGTTCTCTGTTTTCGGGTCGGATCTGAGGCTGGCACCGTTCGGGTCGGGTAAGAGAGTTTGCCCGGGAAAGAATTTGGGACTTGGAACGGTGTCGTTTTGGGTTGCGACGCTCTTGCATGAGTTTGTGTTCGAGGCTAACTCACCAGATCTCTCAGAGGTTTTGAGGCTCTCGTGCGAGATGGCTTGTCCTCTCGTCGTTAACGTACGAACGAGGCGTGAGATAGTGTAAGGTTTGGGGTTTGGTCAGTGCATGGATGTTTCAAAAATTATTGGCAATTAAAACGTTACGTATAATTTCAATAAACATCGAAGAAAGAAAAAAAAACCTAAACATATGTATCTTAAGAGCGAATTAAGATTCGCCCAGCTTTTATTGATTAAGAGACTAGTATATATATACTAATGTATCTGTGTTATATGAAATAAAAATATCATATGCTTATATGTGGATCAC